CTCTGCATCATAAGCAAAATAAATTTTGTACTGCTCGGTATTTCAACATTAAATTAATCACCAGACATGAGTGTTGAAACAGAAATATCAGTTTCTACATATAAAATGATTCTAAATATGTCAAAGGTTTTTTTTTTCATTTTTATTTGTGTTTCTTTTCCTATTGTATACTCAAAATTGTAATGAACTAGCTTAAATTCAAATGTTACCACAATACTTATTTTTGTGTCAATTTATAATGTATATTTGAGAATTTACATAGCGTATTTTTGCCTTTTAGACACCTATTTCAGGTGGCTAAAATAGATTTTACAGTCTTAATAACTAAAGAGAATTTGGGTTTATTTATTAATGTAAAAATGATGATTAAAAATGTCATAAAGAATTGCGTTTACAAACTGTATACAATTACAAAAACTTTATAAGCGGACAATACATGACTGATCACGGGAGTAGCTAAGGAGGGTTGGGACAAATACCCTCCCCTCTAAATCTTTCACATATATATCATTTTGAAATTCTTCCAAAATTAATTCCAAGGCAAGATTTCTCTTGCTCTAACAGGCACTACTTATCGTGTAGAGACGACATTCACCACCTGGCATAGGGTAACACTTTATATTAATGTCGTGAACAATGCAATAGATTATGCTTGTTGAATGTATACAAGATACTTGTTTCAGAAATATTGACCTAAAGTTAATATTCAGATTGGACACTTACTTCATGGTTTATCTGTAATGTCCCTAGAGTAGTACCACCCACTGTTTCTTAGATTAGGCTCACTCTCAGTTGTGTAGAATATTCGTTTTTGAAACTGCCCTCTGTGAGGTCAGTTAAAAGCATTTTGGTACAATGCATAATGAAAAAACATTCAGAAATAAACTTATTGAAGCCACTTATGGCAGGGATATAATTGTCACTCATTACACCAAATATTAATAAAATTGTAATTTATTTATTATAGAGCAGTAGCAAACTTCATATGCTTAGATCTATAAATACACAGAACTTCACATCATATATATAAATTTGTAATTTATTATAGAGTTTATATCCCCTGTAATACTAATGTAATAGTAATTAGCAAAAAATTACTATCACATTTTCAACATTCAATCACATTGAATTTCCACATTCCAATGTGTTTGTATCGTTGGCATGGTTGTGAAATTTACCTGGTAAGTAAAAATTAGAGTTTGGAAGTTTGGCAAAATGTCTCTTTGTTATTTTTACTATTTTATGGCTTTAAACACAAGGAATCGCTTCATCGAGTTGTTTTAGTTGATTTTCATTTTTCCTACTTTATCTTCCAATGCCCGTTTTGCTTTATTTTTGCCTTTATCTGCCTTTTTCCTAATAATTTTGCTTCTTTTTCTCCTGACACTGATTGTGACCAAGAATATATTTGAACATATACCTGCAAGTCTCAACCACATAATGGCAGAGTCATATTTTGTCTTTCTGAGGAAGCAAAGGTTGTGTTAAAAATCTAAATGAAAAAGGAAGATAATATCAGTCAAGATCATTGATTTTTTCATTGATGCCAACAGACTTTGTTTGCTCATGAGGAATCCTGTCCTACTTTTGTGTAAGGGCCTCCAATCATCTTTGAGGACACTTCTCTGTATATGATTTACCATCACAATATTGATATATTATAATTTATATCAGGGTGTCTGTGATTTCAAAATAACTGCCTCTTTATAATCTCATATCATCATTTATGTGACATGTTCAAATGTTTTTACAATTTCCTGTCTATCAATTCATCTGTCTTACTTCCAATCATAAAGAAATTTGTTACACTTGACCTTCAAAAAAAGACAATAGTTATTATCAATCTACACAAGATTTCATTGAACAAATCCAATCTCCCATTTCTTACACCAGGGTAAAATATAAGATTGCTCTCTTTTAGTTTTCCTCAAATACCTTAGAAATCGTGAGGAATCCTGAAAAAAGGACATCAGAGCTTACGAAAGCCCATACAATTTTCTATTAAATGCTTTTTGATTCTATCAAATACCATTAGGCTTTGAGTAATTGAAGGTAACGATTGTTACTGGAAATTTGCAACCCATCTATTAACAGTTGCCTGTAACATCAATAGTAATAGCAATGGTGATTGTAGAAAACATGGACTGTTTGAGGGGACAGAAGTGGAATGAAGCTTAGTAGGCTAGAATTCATTCCTTTTCCTGTTTAATAAGTAATTTTAATAAATACCCAAGCAACGCAGGGTACTTCAGCTTGTAGTAATAATAATTTTGTTCAAATTACAGCAAACTAGGTTGTCATAGTCAATTAGATAAGATTTAATTTTGTGAAGTATTCTCTGTAAAAACTCTAAATGGTTTTCATACTTGTTTGGATTCGTTTATTGTGATTAAACTGTCTCTCTTAGTTATTAAAAATCATTTGGAAGTCTTACCTACCCTTCTTATTTCTTTGTGAATTTACATTGACTCTCAATCTTTCACTTATAAATTACGAGAGCATGGCAGTCCTGCAAAATGCCTTTTGGCAATTTTCAGACTTTTAAAAAGATGAATCTCTTAACTGTACTTCTGGAATTGTTTCAGATGATTCTGTTTATTTCGCCTTCATTGCTTCCCTATTACAAATATTTTGCCTAATTTTTACATTTTCTTAATTATTTTATTGCTTTCTCCCATCATCAAACTGGAAGCTTATCTGCATGTCTGAACAACACATCCCCACTATTTAATTGGCTGTAATGTCCATTACGCCCTGAGGAAGGTCACAGAATGATGACTGAAACGTCGGCATCTTTGCTATAGACGTGGCATCACCTGGACAGCCAATTAAATACTGATTCCGGTCACGGAAGCCTACACTCACATTGCCACTGTTGCATTTTGTTTGTTTTCTCCATGTGAAGAAGTGTTATCACGTAGGACGTGTTGAACTTAAGCTGTAGGTTCACTAAATGTTAAAAACAGCAGACAGAATGCAATACAATACCAGTAAAGATTCTTGGATTTCTCTTATTGACAGGCTTTCCTTGACCTTGGGGAACCCTATCCCAATCTTACATATGGTCTTGACCTCTTTTAAAATCGTTTTGACTTTATATTCTTTTTTTAATGTTCATTTGTGACATTGTTTAATCCACATCTATTTTAGCCAGATTAAATTCCTTTCATACCTATTTTATTAAAAATAAACGCTTTTTTGATATACCTTTTGAGTATAAAGAAATAAATGAAAATACCTAAAAATAAAAGCCCAATCTTCTGGGCTCTTCTTAGCAGTTTGTACATAACTTCATTGTAAATATGTCATAAAAACTACAATGGGTAACTAAGAAACCTTCTATCTTTTAAGCAGACTAATTCACACGCAAAATGGTATCTATTAATATGATGGGTAATGTGGTAAATGAAATACCACAAACATACTGCAAACTTTGCAGAAATGTAAAATGATTGTTGCGCTCAAATTCTGAAAACATAATGGGAAGAGCTAGTAAAAAAATATAAAAGAGGTGCCTGAAACTATTCATAATGAATAAGAGTGGAATGATGAATGGCTGTACAATTTACACATTATTTTTGAAAGTCATGAACTTTATTTAATTAAACTTGTTGGAGATTATTAGATCCAATTAAATTTTATGAAATTGAAAATAGTGTGATAACACTTTTAATGTTGGGAAAAACTAGTGAGCAGTTGATAATTAAGCCTTTCAAGTTTTAATTTGGATTTTAACATTTGATGGAAATAACATATTAGAAAAAAATCTCATTTTCAAAAGGAAATATTAATGATGACCTAGCTTTTCTCTTTAATGGAATTTTGGAGTGATGTTTAACAACATTACATACATTTCAACACTAGTGATTTAGTACAACAAATGTGAAGCCATAAAATAAATTCAGCAAAAAATTTAGCAAAAGTTGTCACATTTGTTTCTTAAAGCTAATAAACACTTAAATTACAATTGAAGACTAAAAGTGAGAAACACTTAAATTGCCAAAATTAGAAATTTTCAGATTTTTTTTATGGAAACTGCTGAATGTACACAGGCAAATTACTTGGGATGGGAAGTATCACAAATGTTTCCTAATGGTACAAAATATCTCTTATGGATGGAGTAGTAAATTCCTTCAATAATAGTTGAACTTGAGTGAATTTTGTGTGAAAAGTTTTCTACAGTACAAATGCCTAATGTGCAATCCAAAATACTAAAATTAAAAAGTATTTATTATAAAAGAGAAATGATTCACAGACAAATGCACAATAATTATCTTTTTATAGCAGTAATTCACAGAATCACTAAAAATATATTGTTTGAACTCATTGATATCACTTGATAGTTGGGTTTATTATTTTCTTATTAACCAAAAACCAGTACTGTTCAGCATGTTTATTTACCAGTGAATTAAATAAATGATTATTTAATCTTCCATCAAAAATTGGAACAGCTGAAAGTGAAATCATTATTGCCAGCAGTAAATAACTTAATTGAAATAAAACTGAAGGATATTATGGGTCCAATTAAATCATGTAATACCAGAAATGTATAGGAAGAAGAATTCCCAATCATTGAAAACCCTTCAAAGGAATAAGGTAAGGAAGACTTTAAAGCTCTCTTCAGTTTCAAAACCTAAGAGAAAACAGCAAAAGAAGAAGCAAAAAATGATCACTCCAGCTAGGCTACTGGACAAAGAAAAAAATGTCAAACCAAGTTATATTAATAACTTAATAGTACCATTCCCTAATGAATCATCAGGCAAAACACACCAGCCCAAAAAAGCAAAGCATTTAATTCACTCTTCAGTGCTTCATGTACTCTAAATCTAGGAAAGTAATATTAATTTTAACGACATTAAGTATATTATTTACAATTTGGATTGCATAATTCTAAAGAACCTGTAACAAGTCTTGTATTTCAGCTTCTGGGTCAAGATCAGGTTTTCATCCAGTTTCCCTGATCCTTAAGCAAATGCTGAAATGGCCCATTGTTTTGCTTCTGGACATGTAACTTCAATTGAGCTTTTTCTCATAGCACATCACAAACAGATTTTAACTGTTTTTGATGTAAATAAATAAAGTGTTTGTATTCTTCTAAATTCAAGCAACATTTGCAGGAATTATCTAACACAATGAATGCATTGGTGCCACCTTCATGAATTGCATTGGCGTCACCCAGGGGTCTAATTACGATACAGTTATCTATGAATAACGCCTAATGTTTTAACTACTCTTTGTACATTCAACTTGAATATGAATATATGCTTGGGAACAGTGTGTCCTTTAGTGTATACTTTGGAATATTATAAAACTAAATATATCTGATATTGATTCAAAAATTATTACAAGCAATGTCTGTACACTATACTCTTTATACTTATGGAGCAATATTAAAATGCAAGTCGTTTCTTCATTATGATTATTTCCAATTATTTTCTCAAATTCTTCTCCCCTTCCCTATATCCATTAAGAATTCACTCCTGACTGCAAAACCTGAAACATGCGCACTAGTGGTAATTGCAGATGACAGTAAATTAAAATTTAAGAAGTTAACTTTTATATTCCTTATCTTTTCAGTAAAAGAATCACCTCCACTACATCTTTCAGAAACAACTGGGCATTTTCACTCAGAGACAGGCTTAAATTATTCTGTAACAACCAAAATTTAAATTGATTTTCTCCAATGAAATCGGACATGGATGGAGTGGAGAATTTTTAATTACCCCAATTTGTGAACAGTAAATCTCTGGTAAACAGGAGTCACAACAAAAGCAAAGGTTAAGTTTCATTTTCCTTTTAAATTGTTAGATTAAGTGAAAAAATTGATTACAAAATTGATTTAATTTCAAACAGCAGTCAATTGCAATTGCAGTCAAAACACAGAAATATCCTTTGATATATACAATTAAAAATAACATATTTTCAATAATTAAACTGTATTTCATATTAGGTATGTGAATGCTATATTCAGTTTACATATATTGAAACAACAATCATCAATACATATTTGCCAGTACGTTATTAAATAGTTTTTAAGTTCAAATATTGTAGTAGAGAACACAATGAACAAAAAAATTGAATGTTACAAATTAATAATTCTATTTTAATTTATTAAAAACTTTGGAATAAACATAATAAAAAATTCTACTACTCCCACATTTTGAATATAAAAAAATTACCATGACTTTTCACAAATATGCATATCAGTATATGTAAGATTAACATAGTAATTACATTTGAGAACCTAGGTCTATTTTTTAAATCATGAAATATCTAGATTTGAGAATATTAAAATAACACTGTTATAGTGAAATATTTTAATTGCACACTCATTTTCAAACAAAAACTCTTTTCACTAAAACAAATAAACCAATTTTCCTTTTATTATTTTACAATGTTATAGCATTCTTGCAGTCTTTAAGTTGTTTTTTTTTTATTATTTTTGGGTAAGTTCTACTCATGACACTTGAGTTGTATACATTCATATTACTCGCATACATGCATGCATAAATACCAAAAACAGCATTTGAAAGTCCCTGTTTTCCTCGTTCAAGAACTAAAACATAATTTATTACATTATACAGGACTTTAAGACTATTTAAGGTGCATGCCCATAAGAAGCGAGATAAGAAAAATCACTAGTTTTATTCCATTTTGATAACAAATAAATTGTTTAAATTACATGACAAAAGAATACACTTTTCACAACCGAAGTAACTAAGCACAATTAAAATTGACACATTAGTAGTCAAAGATGACTGATGTAATGTACAGAAGATAATACTATTATTGTATGCTGGAGCAGTTATTATTCTCACAGGAAGTGACCTCTAAAAACAGGGTGTTCATCAATTATTCCTTACATTACACATTACAAAATTACAACAGTACCTATGAAACAATAGCTGGTAAGTCTAGAACATACTTTTAACTGAGGGTGGAATTTCTTCAAAGGATATTCAATTGTTAGGGTTCAACAATAGCACTTCTTAGTTCTTTTCCTACTTCATTTACTGTAACCCATCACTCCACTTTCATGTCACTAAGTTCTGGCCACTGCAAATCAAAAAATCTGACAAAAAATGGCCAGGACTTTTTTTGTTTTTTACACTAATTACTACCAATAATTATTTTAGAAACCTTAAAAAGTTTTACTGTTTTAATCACTTTCAAAATACACAGCTAGCAGATTGGAAATATAAGTAGTAGATTACCATTCATTAACATTTTGTGCACACAAATATTGATACCTGTCATACTTATGATTAAAATACAAACAAGATTAATATTTGTAAATAGCGAGGGTGGCCAGTAAACTTCAACATAAATTTTTCTTCACGTTTGGTTAGCTGAAAATAAATATTTTCAAAATTGTTGTATATTTCCCTAAGGGTTAAATTAAAATGAGTATGGGCAATTGGGATGCTTAATATGAAAGTTTTGAATTATACTGTACATGTCTTTGGATAACAAGACTTTTAAAAATACATCTACATTTATTGTTTTTAGAATGTTATTAATAAAATCAAATTTTTACTGTAAATGCAATTTCTACTTGAATAAGAAATTTAATTAAAAATGTGGAACCATTTTTGAGAAAATTTGCAAAATTTGATACTAGAATCTTGAAAGTATCCCCAAGATTTAAGAGATTGGTTTCGTATTTGCAGGACTGCTAGCTGAGATAAGACTGATAACATAATTTCATTTTCCGAAACAATCCTTTACATGGTTTAGGACCTAATGTGGTTTACAGAAGGATGGACGGATAGTCACAACAGATTGATGTTTTTCGAAAATAACAAAACACAAACACTTTTTTAGCATTACAACCCCCTGAAACGTATCTGACTGATAACTTTCCCTCTACTATAAATACAAGAAAATAAAAAAAGAGACACAATATAAAAAGAAAAAATGTATATTATTTTCTACTTTATGGAAGAAAAAACAATTTAATAAATAATACAAAAACTCTAGGTTTTATCAAATTTCAAGT